CATCCCAGGATGCTACAAGCGCGCAAGTAATGCAGCCGTCAGGGCAGAACTGGGGATCCAATCCCTACGGTCGGGAAGAGACGCGAGGAAGCTGACCTGGCAGTATCGCATGTGCGGGATGGGAGAGGAGAGGTTGCCGAGAATTGTATGGGAGGCGAAGTGGGCAAACAAAAAGAGGGGTAGACAACCCACGGAATGGGTCAAGGTTGTAGAGGACGTATGGAAGGGGCTCGACATCGACGAAGATGAAACGCTGGAAACGGAGGGTCTACAGGGGTTCAAGGAGAAGATATCTGTTGCTTGTGCCGTGAAAGAAGAACAGAATCTAAGGAAAGAATCCAAGGATAAGGAAGGTCTAGAAGTGTACGGGATGTTGAAGGAAGGAAAAGGGTTCAAGGATTACCTCCATGGACCAATGGATGCAGGAACAAAGCTTTTGGTCAAATTCAGGACCGGGGACATCTAGTGGAGGAAATCCTACCCCCTCTCCGCAACTTCCGTCAGAGGGCGAGACAAGGACGACCGGAAATCAAAATCAAACGCAGAGAGCGAACATGGGCTGCCGCATCTTGGTCGAAACGATCTTGGCGGTAGTGCTCGATGAAGACGAAGCCCAAGGCGACTTTCCGCGGGCGGTAGAGGGGGGCACCGATCGCCGCTCAGCTAGCCCGCCTACACGAAGCGGCATCGGCAGTGGTAGCTGAGAACAACCTTGCAAGGGGCGCAGAGAGCGTGGGGAGCTAAAAGCTTCGTTCGTGTCTCATACCACCATTGACCAATAAGCGTACCGTTTCCGATCCGCGACCATTGGTAGATGCAAAGCCATTGCGTTAATTCTCTCTTGCAGCGAGCCGAGACCAGTTTTCGCTTCACATCCCAGGAGGGGGAACAAAATGCTCAAGGTTCCGGCAGGACGTTTCTCCTACACAATGCGATGTCGTTTCGTTCTTGTTCTATATCGGTACCGCGGTATATTGACGCGCGCGGGCGTACCGAACAAGCGGGACGGTGGGGTCGCAAGAAATACCGCATGAACAAAAAAACAGCGTTAAGGTGCCCACTCAATAATCAAGTCAATCCCTTGAATGTTTCCTTCGTGTAGACATAAAACATGATTGACTGGGGCTTGGAAAATGTTGACAATGAGGCTTCAGTTGATGCACGCGTCATCCTGCCCATGTACGAAGATACACCAACCTCGCGGTTTCGCCGACACAAGCGCGGTATTAGAGTATGGGATGGCGAAACTTCACTCTCACCGGCTTCACAGATACCCCACGATCGCCAGGAATATGCCCTCCTCTTGCATTCCCAGCACCCTCGCCACGACAACAGCCCAGTTGCCACCAAGCCGTTCAGCCATTGGGCTACCCTCTCCGGCCGCCCTGCAGTAGTTGGCCTTCAATCTTCCAACTCCTCGGTTTCGTTGCAAGTTGCTCGCGCCACACCGGAATCCGCTCTATCGGGGTGAGTACGGCACAGCACCAGGTAGCGCCGGCGATGCCATGCTCTGTCGGCCTGAGCGTTCACCAACAGGTCGCGCACGCGGTCGTCTTGCTCGCCCGATAGATGCAATCCTGCAACCTCCCAGCTGATCATGTCCACGGCTGCTCGGCCTTCGCTGTCGAGGATGGTCTCATCCGCACCTGACCTCAAGAGCGAGTCCACAACCTCCGTGTCTCCTTCGAATCCGGCCACAGCTGTCGCAGAGCGCAACGGCGTGAATTGACACCTATCTTGGGCGTTGATGTGGGGACCATGTTTCAAAAGGGCCAACAAGGCTGCGACAGCGGACTCGCTGGCAGCGAGATGAAGGGGCGTGCAGCCTAGTCCATTCCGTGCTTCGATGTTGGCTCCAGCCTCCACGAGCACGTCGATCTCCTCCACGTTGTTCAGGAGTGCAGCATGATGGGGAGGTGTACGTTCGACAGCGTCTGCAGCATCCACTTCCGCCCCGCGCTCGATCGCCGCGCTCATGATGTCAACCGAGAGGCCGAAATTCGTGTTCAATTACTTGATGAAAGACTAGGCGACACAAAATTTCGACCAGTAAATTGACTGGTCGAATTTATGTGTTGCCCTCTTTTGGCTGCGTTGCATTGTCAACGAATCCGGCGGACCGCCCAAAACCGGAACGAATTCCCCGGAAATGTTATCTACTGTCAGGACATCCAATCACAATGTTCACCCAAAGAAAATTATTCGGCGTATTGCTCAAGAGCAACCTATTATTGGTAAATAATTCCGACGACCGAACGGGTGCTTCTATTGTTAAACAATAGAGTGTGCCACAGCTTGTCCGTCGCGAATATCACCCAACCAATTGACGCGGAGAAATTGGAATCTCCCGTAAATGGCCNTGTCAGGACATCCAATCACAATGTTCACCCAAAGAAAATTATTCGGCGTATTGCTCAAGAGCAACCTATTATTGGTAAATAATTCCGACGACCGAACGGGTGCTTCTATTGTTAAACAATAGAGTGTGCCACA